TTGTGAATTATTTAGCCGATGAGCTGTTTAAACTACTAAAAAAAATTAATACTGGGCACCATCTATCATTCGATTTACCATTGTCATTGAGTTATACCGGTTTTGGGGAATACCACGATCCGTCAGCAACCCTGGACATGTGCAAAGAATAATACTAATGTATCCAGTTCCTGGATCTTTTTGTTAGATAGCAACGCCCCTGACCACCATCGAATTCTTGTTTAACCTTGAAACGTGTATGTTGCAGTCGACTGATGACGCTACAGAATCGTATTATAATAGTTCATAATATGATATGCACGTGTATAAAAACTTGTCAAGTCACCTACCAAAATAAAATTTTAACTTGTCTTACGAATTTTAGATCAGGTTATTCATAGTTCCTTCAATAGCTCAGTCAGGGTGAAAGGTTTTAGAAAAGGAGTGGAGAAGTGTTTGTACTAGAATCGTATTTCTGACTGTAAATAGAATATTTATATAGTAAATTCTACCCTTGATAATTTACTGTCGAAAATATCGCCAACAACGAGGGTACAACTGATGAAACAATGTATTATAATCTTTATAATTAAAAACGTAAGAAAAGTGTACCGAATTAGCTATACTTATTACTAGTTCCATTCTTAGTAGGTAGCTTATAATTGCTTTGATCGGAAGTTAGTATTAATAAGTATATCAAAATGTTATTGACGGATTTTTAGAATATTTGATTTTTATGGTAAATAAATATGTAGTTTGTTAATAAAACGTGTGCTAGAGTTCTGATCACATGAACGTACTTTTCATAAATTGTTAAGTGCTGTATTTGCTGAGCCTCTAATTTTTTCAGTCAATACAGTACAATTGTTTAATTGTATGACTTTTTCACGTAGGTCAATTTGTTTCACCTCATTAAGTGATATTATATCTACTCAATAAGGATTTTTTTTTCTCCACGACATGCCGTTTTTTCTATTTAATTTTTTATGTGTTTCCACAAAATGATATAAACATTTATATAGTTCAAAAACCTGTCATAAAATCTTTAAAGAAACTTTTTGTTTTCAAATTGAAAAATAAATTCTTATAACTAAATAACACCACCTGGCTGGTTCTGTACAGTTCAATTTGATCCTTTAATTGTCATGCTAGTCCGTCACTTCTCGAAGATTTATGCATCACAGAATGTTCAGTGACCATGTAAACATAATAAAAAACAACACTTAGTGCAATCATAATCAAATCGTTGTGAAAAATAACTTTTTTATCCAAATTATTACCTCATAAAATCAACTTCTGCTACTCTTTCATCCAGTTATTCACCATCTGCATATAAGAAAAACTCGCCACTATAACTATAATAGACAAATGCAGAAACAACTACCAGGGCTGACAAACACTATCTCAAAATACCGTACATATAGTATATTCTCCATCACTATATTAAGCCTAGTTTTATTCTTTACATTTGCCCTTGTCCAAGGTCACTAATGAGGAATGGTATTCTCCGAATCCGACATAACTTAGTGACAAGTGGTAAATCAAATAATATATTGTGGTTCACATATATTTTTTGGTGTTTCATAATTCACCCAAGAATGAAACTAATCTGTTGCATTTTGTATTAATATATAAAGTTCATAATCATATGTTTATTTTATACATCTACGGTTGATTCTCAATAAGTAAAATAGTTTTAAATGTTTCTTTAAAGGCTTCAAAATGAAAAATTCAGAGAATACTTGTTCGCTGTTAAGTACCAATAAATCATCAAATAATTCGAGAAGAAATGAACAACTGGGTTGGACAAATATTATCACAAACACACACACACACGTATATATATTAATCGTGATTTTAGAGAAAATCAAATGATTTTTAGCATTTCTATATTAAACTTTGTTGATACGTCTTGTGAAGGAGCTATAAGTTTTAATCTACTTATTTTTGAGACTTGCATAATATATTACGTTATTGACGTTTATCACATCGAGAACAAGATATACAAGTGTTGTAATTATAAAACAGTCCTTGTATAAGTTTGTTTCAAATTTAGCCTTATAAAAAGATATAAGTTAATTCTATAATGTGCATAACAAGCCTGTTTTATACCATTCTTTATAAGTAAAACAAACAAACAAAAAATTTATGTTCTTTATGTGTGTAAGCATTTGTATGATTTTATCGTTCTTTAAAATGTAAGTGCAACTTAGATCTTTCACGAAGTTTAGGGTATATTTTGGTCCTTTGACAGCACCTTTGTATATTTTGTTTGTTGGTTGGTGTTTTGGGAGGGGTTGTATTCAGAATACATGTATATTATACAAAGTTACTGTTGTATATTAGTTAGAGTTACAAGTTGAACAAGTGTATTAATGTATTTGTTTTGAAAGTTTGCGTGTGTTACATGTCGTGCTAAATAGTAAATACAGTGTTTTCACAATTGTTAAACTTTGCGCCGATCATAGCAAATGTGAGAATTTATTCGAAATGCGGGAAAAATAATTTTTGACAAATTTAAAATATTTAAATCCAGTTTTTATATGTTCATCACTTTATACCTCGTATTTTACTTTTTGATTTTGAACGAATATCACGCTTTTAGCGTTTTGCAGTATTTACAGTACACGTGAGAAATATACATAATTATGTGTATTTTACATTTAGTTGTAACTTTTCTATTATTTTGTGTCATTTTATTGCATTCCATAACATTCTGGATTATTCGTTAGTCAACATTTGTGTTTTACACCAGTACTACTGATAAGATGTTTCCCAGCTGATAATTACAAGTTGCATAGAATTTGAAGTTAGTGTTAACTTCCTGACATGTTATCTCTGACTGTTCTGATAATACTGACCAAAAGTAATATTTTAAACACAGCTCGTGAAAGAAAATTTAAATTCAGTTAGTGTACTTAAAGTACAAGTTTGTAAAAATACCAAATTTTCTTTAGAAAATCATTTCTTGAACGCTTAAACTCGCAGACATAAAATGCTTTTAACTAAAACGTAATGATAAAAATATAAGAGCACGTCATCGTTTAGCTCATTTTTTTTTGCCATTGAACGTTATATGATCACGTGAACATGATCGAGTTTGCACATGGTTTTATTATAAGTGCACGAGGACACCGAGTGAACGAGCAGCTGTGACATGGGGAAATTGCAATATGAGTTAGTAATTTCATGGTGGTAAATAAAAATTTAAAACTGGTCTATCAACTGTTGTGTAGTACATTTTCAAGCTCCAATTTTCATTTCTATTATGTGAACTCAGCATGCCCCCCCCCCTCTCCCCAACGTCATTCTGTATGTTAACATGTTCGTCATCGGAACACTATACTCTACCGGGGCTGAAGCTTGTAAACAGGTTCACGTGAGCAGTGCGTGATTAGCCCCTGTAGCGTGGTTGGTCTCAATTGTTACGATGAGGTTAACCTACTATAGATAGGCAACCGCTGTCAGTTAACCATGAGCTCTCACACTGTTAAAATCAGTAGAATTTCGGAGTGGCCGAAGAAGACATTCAGTAAAATGATTCCTCGGAGTACTTTAAAACAATCTTGCTTAGGAACTATAGGAGACTTCTTGTTATGCTGGAGCAGAAACCCATGTAGGCACAGACTAGACATAGAAAATGCTAACGACAATCCGTTCTACAGTGTTCCACTTGGCCTGAGACAGGATATGCTGAATTCTCTGCTAAGTATTCGACCACATGGAAAGGAGCTGCTATTTGCTGCTGAGCTCTTAGTTTCTCCCGGTATTGAATCTTTTGACTTGGGGTGTATAGAAGATTGCTCTTTTCCTGATGTCAAAGTGGTAATGGACATTTTAATCCGACACGGACATTCACTGAGATATCTTCGAATCGTAGGTCACTGGCTTCATAGGAAAGATAGCATGATTCTGTTGCATCAACTTCTTCGAGCTTCTCCAAATCTGCGTCAATTGAAACTTCAGCACACAACTAAAGCCGGCAAAGAAGTAGAAATAATCGCAGAATGTTGTAAGAAACTTCAAAAACTGGAAATATTACATCCTTCTCTTGATGAATTAGATGTGCAAGCTCTAGTAAATAAAATTAATCCCAATAGCGCGTGTTGGCCAATATGTGAAAACTTGCATGAAGTTAGGCTTCCATCATCCGTCAACGGACGTGCAGTTTTGTTACTACTACAAATATTTCCTAACCTTGAGTACATACAGTGTGCATACTTAGAACAGTTTTTAGATGAAGTTGACACTGCCAGTAATCAAGAGTTTTGGAAGTTACGCTTATCCAAGTTACAAGGAATCCAAACCACACATCCACTCGATGATGACGCTTTAAGTAGGCTCGTCCAGTGGTGTCCTAACCTTAGGATGGTTTCTCTTGAGGTCCAGGAAGGAATGTCTCTCTACCCATTGTCACAGTTATCCCAACTTCAGTACCTTCAGCTAAGAAATAGCCCCACACTTTCAGCTTCTTATACTGAAGAGGTCCTAAGTTTGCTGAAAGTGTGTGGTCGGAGGTTAGTGCGCCTTAGCCTAGAACAGTTTGATGTGATAGATTTGGTCAAGACAGCCTCTTTGTGTCCAAATCTGAGAGGCTTTAGCGCGCAGTGGTTTATCGTTTTAGGAACAGGAAAAATTCGAAAAAATGTAGAACCTTTTGGTGCGCTCCGGTATCTACGACTTCGACCTCAAGTAAATCGAAAGATCTCTACTGAAGCTTGTGAAATGTTACTAGCTCATTGTCACGATCTGCGTCATCTCGAGTTGTACTGCTGCTACGGTCTAAACGATGCATTAGTTAAAAAAATAGTGTATCAAAATTTCTTTAGACAACTTCGTTCTGTTGTTTTGCGACACGGTCATAGCTTGTCAGCTGACGGTATCAACAGGCTTACTAGAGCTTCTAAAAAACTGCATGTTTGTGACACTGGGGTGACCTCAACTAAGTCTTCTGAGCAAATAGCTTAACATTCTATGAATGTAAACATTTGTAACATTCGCTAATTTTGTGCCTTATTGATATGATTAATAAGAAGAGCTAGAACCTGTACTGTGATTTATCACCAGACTTGATCTTATAGTCATTAGTTCACCGATGGGAAAAAAAAACTTTTTTTTTACTTCCTGTAAATGTGTACATGTAAATTCTAAAAGTAAAATTACGGACCAACGTCATAGATTCATATATGCTCAAGTAAACCATGTATCATGTATGCTATTTCATTTTCAGGTCTTGAATGAGACTAATTAAAATCTTGACCCTAGTGGTTTTTGTCAAATTTTGTTTTGTAAGTTTTATACCGTCTCTCAAAGAGTCAAAGTAAAATATATATTTTCAACGTGCTTACAAATATATATATATAAACGTATATATAAAAGATGAAATTTGCTTATTTTGTTCGCTATAGGAAACCAAATGGTTGAACTTACA